TACATACGTCGCAACTGTGAATTTTAAGACATTTTTTTATTAAAAATCCGCATATATAATAAAATTTTCTTAAAAAATATTAATATTCTATGCATGCAATTCATTAATATGCTTGTTTATATTTACATTTTCGATAACATTGCCACCATTACACGCGATTTTGGAAAATGGCTCATCCTTACTAGTCCTACGAATTTCATGCAGCCTTACAAGTAAAGCATCCCCACCTCTTTCGCAGTTTTCAGTTCCAGAATGTAATAAATTTAAACATTGCAATTTTTTGAACGTCCTTTGAAATTGGACCGATGTAGGATTTACACAGTTACCATCATGGAGGAAGGATAATTAAGAGTTGCAAATTCCTCACAGAAATTTGGCAGTATGTTTACCTTCAGCGACATATGGAATAGTTTTGTGAAATTAATACTCAGTCGGTAATATAGGAAGATGTAATGCTATTTTAGTTTGAAAATTGGCGGGCTTTTGAATTTAGTTCGACAAAATATAAGAATTTTACATTTTTAATAGCATTCTCAGGCGTATTACAAAATGCAAATAAAAATGTTAAATAATTTTAAAAGTGCAAAATAAATAATACAAAATTGTAACAACTAAATATTATTTGTAGAATCTTTATTGGTTACAACAATAAACATAATATACATTTTCTGAATAAACAACTATATTAAATAACATAAAACCAACAAAATTTTTCTATGATCGTGCGAAATAGAATAAGAGTTCCAGCCATAAATCCTGAAATGAAAAATAAAAAAAAAACAATCGTTGAAAGCGAAAAACTGCTTAAGACACATGATTTTGATTGTATGTGACTCATTACTAATTTTTACTTTACTATGGCTAATTAAGATTTTCTTGCTTTTTATAATGAATATACTTTAGATTTATCAAGATTATAAAGCTTTGTTATTCGCATATCTAGAATTATTATCAAAATGAAAATTAGAATTAAATTTTTGTTAAGAATTTTAATATTTGGAAATAATACAATTACGATTAATATTCATTTTTTTCAGAAAAAAAAGTAATTCCTTACAAAAATTCTGCTTGTTGAAAAAAAAAATACAAGAAAAAGTTTCCTCTTAAAGTTATGAAGGAAAACCGACAGGAAAACTGTGACTTTTCTTCGTAAAATCAATAGGTAATACAGATTTTTGTAAACCTATTTTTTCGTCAAACAGAATTTTTTTATAATGACTTTTTCCTTAAAATAAAAATAAAGATTTTTCCATTTTGTCAACTCCATACAGGAGATGTTTAAAATATAACATTTTACTTTAAATCTTAATAATATACCTACATAAGAAAATATAAATTGACGCTAAACGTTACGTGACGTTAACTAGGCACCTACCTACATCTTACTAATAGGTTTATAACTGACAAACTGACCCATAACTTAGGATTTTTTTTAAAAGTATACCATACATACCTACCTCTAATAGGATCTTTAAGACACCGAAAAAATATTTTAATACAGTTTATTGATATAGTTTTTTGCTGCACAACTTTGCCCAGACATAGTAAAACACGTAAAAGTTAACAAATTAACACTGGAAAACAACTACTATATAAAACGTTTCAAAAAGTATCTATATTCAAAAAAATAACAATAACTACATAATACACACATCACAAACAAAATAAATTTAAGACCCACGCTACTGATTCCGAGCTGCTGCAACTTGTTTGTTTTTGTCGATATAAACGACGACAGTGACGCCACTGGCTTGATTGAGAGGTTGGATCCCAAAATGGCGGTGTGCGCGTAGATGTGCGCGTAGCGTTGCCTGCCGATTGTTTCCTATGCCGTGGTGGAGCATTGTCAAAGCACAACAGAAATAAATGTAGTTTTTGCAGTGTAGTTTCAATGAATAGTTTAGATTCGTGCAGGTTCGCGTTCACTAGTTTTATCAGAGTACCTCTAAGGTGGCACTAAAAAAAATATATTTCTATTCCATCTACCTCAAAGTACCGAACCATAGATTACGTAATGTGAATAGATGGGAAACTCAATGGTAAAATTCTGAGTCGATGTGCTGCCATCTATCAAATTGGAGTGGTACTAAAATTCAATATGGCCGCCACGAGCGGCCTTTTTTGAAATTTAACTTTGTAGTAGCGCAAAAATGTAATGAAGAAAATCAAATAAAGCAAAAAAATTGGAAAAATATTTGACTAGTTTCAAATCATAAAACAACCATATTGACTGTTTTATGATTTGAAACTAGTCAATTATTTTGCCAATTCATATCTTTATTTGATTTTACTTCATTATAGTTTTGCATTAATTTCAAACTTGAAATAAAATGCAATTTATTTTATTTTTTTTTATTACAGTAAATTAACGCCGCATCATATAATTTGTCTATTTAAACATGGAAATACTCAAACAAATATGCATTTACACCATTTAAATAATTAAATATTTATAAAACAAACCTATCAAAAATGTTTTCTGTAACAAAATCAGTATATATAAGTGCTCAAGATTTTTATAAAAGTTTTGCGACTTGGAGTGGCAAATAAGTTTGAAAAAATTCAAGTTTTTCATCCTTTTTTACTATCGAGGCAAATTTAAGTGTGGATAAAATTTGCCATACGGTTATTGAGTAGACTAGTTAGGTTGAGGAGCATTTCTTCATCCGATAATTGTTTTCTTGGTTCATTTATACAGCACTTGTAGTTATCAAATTTTTATTTATTATGTGGTCACCCTGATAAATGATTTTAACTTTTGAGTATAAATTAAACTTACACATGTTTGGACCCTTGAAGATTTTAGGGTGTTTTCTTGTTTGATGTCAATGGTATTGAATCAGTTTTTGATATTGATTGAGGCTCAAATATTTCATCGATCGACAGGGTATTTTGGAGGGCCAACATTTTCTTTACAACAATGATCATTTAAAAACTGAAAACAAAAATAAATTTAAATAACAAACTAATTATTTTAACACTGAATCAAAAACAAGTTTGTAAATATTACTTACCGTTGGTGCCAAACAGTGATGGTGGATTTTTCTTAAGACACTTATTACAAATTATTTGGTTATCCTTAATACGAAGACTGCATATTTAATGTGGTATAAATTGCATCACTACCTTAGTTTTTCTATGTCACTACCAATATCTGAGAGTACTTTATTGATTGTTGCTGAAAACCATCTTCCCATCGTTTGAAAACATGCTTAAAATTGGAAGGTGTTGAAAAATAAATCTAGATTCTAGATTAATCAAAATTCAATAAACCTTCAAATGCAATAGCCATTTTAATTTCTCCAAGTTTGAAGTTTTGACGAGCTGACAACTGACGTGACATTTCGATACGAGCGCCATCCCGTTAATTGAAGTGGTACTAAATTACCAACCTCATGTTTTCCATTTTAGTTACCAGCCCCTGTGCCGAACGTTACTTTCCCTTCTGAATTGTCCATTTATTCTGTTGCCCACATACTTTGATTTTCTTTACTATACGGTGCAAGAGAGAGGTCCGACACGCCCAACATAGAGCGCGGCCATTTTGATTTCTATGCCACAGTTTATAGCTAAAGAATCAGATCGCTCACTCTGCGTCGGCACTTTTGATCTCAATGTTCCAGTTTATACACTGCGCAACTCGGATAATACAATATATGACAACCGCCTATAATGAAACAGCAGTCTTCTGCGTATCCTGAATTTGTATCCCTGGAGTGGATGTTATTTTGGAACTTTCAACTGGTCCGAATGAGCTAACTGATTCTTAAGCAATAAACTGTGACTCCAAAAATAATATTCACTTACACTGACAGCAGCAAGCAAAATATCAGGTGCGTTTTAATCATCCGCTTCTGCTTCCGGAATTGTCGGTTTAGTCGTTTTAACCTGTCAGATTAGAACAAGAAAACCGACAATTCCGAAGCAGAAGCGGATTATTAAAACGCACCTATAAAAAAAAATATTGCGCCAAGATGTAGGCTTTTATATTTAAACGACTTTTTAACAACCTTTTATCAACATCAAACTTCTCGAAAAAGATCCCCTTGTCTTCTACTTGACATGACATGGGTCATTCTTAGAACATTACTTTTATGACAACTGACATGATGGTCTCTTTCCAATTAGGCAACTAAAACTAATATTTAGCGTTTAATGAGCAAATCTAACATAGGCAACACGTAATAAGGGATCAAAATAGCGGAGTTTTCTATCTCCTTTTAAAAGGCACTCAGAAAGCTACGCAGTGCGACCATTCTCCGTATAGTAAAAGAAAATCAAAGTATGTGTCTGTGACCACAATTGTATTCACTATGAAGACTAGAGTTATTCACCATCCCGATATTGCTGCTTTCAACCAAATTTTTTCTAACGTAATCATTTTTCCTCCAGTAATTTTCATGATTGTATTCAATCAAATTATATTCATAAATTATAATTATTGACATAAAAACTAAAAAGTAATCTTTAAAGTATCCAAAAAAAGAAACCGGATACTTGTATCGGAGTACATTTTTAGGTGATAGTATCCGTAAATTTTAAATTTTTTTATTCAGATACATTACAATTATCCGTATCCGGCACTCGGATACTTTTGTTTCGACCCAACTTAAAACTTCATATAACGGTGCAGTATTTGATTACTTTTATGGTGGTAAAAATGAAAATGTTTAGTTATACTGGCAGATTTTTCAATAACTTTATACGTAAGAAATGGCGTCAATTTATATTTGTTAAACAAATTCCTGTCCTGAATCAAAAGTCTATTTTTTTGCTGAGGTCCATGTGCCCCAAAAAATTGACGGCATAGCGCCTTAAATTGTGCTTTTATAAAAGTAATATTGAAATTATATAGGTACTTAGTTTAATGTTGGTTAAAATTACTCCCTAAATTGTTAATAAATTAAAATTCAAAAAGCAGGTATTTTACTTATTTGTCGTTTGTATTTAGCTTACTTAACATTACGAATTTAATACGAATAAATGTTATTCCATTTTAGTGGTCTGGATATGGGGAACTACGCAACAAGTTGGCAGGTAGATTAGTTATGGTTCACCTTATGTGTAGAGAAGCAGCCACAGAAGAAGAGTCCACGGAATTTCCCAGAATTCAAATGTTGTTTTCGCCATGCGTGGCCTTTAGAGTCGTTGGATCTCCGACTAAACAACTCATCAGCAGTAAGTATTTACAGAGTGAAAATATTTTAAAATATTTTAAAGTTTATTACTCATTTAAATATTTGAGATGCTATTGTCTCTGTAATTTATATACGCGAATCTTTTATATGCAGAACAAATTACTTGTCTATATAATTAGCAGAATACCCCACTAGCGGTAGTATTTTATTGATTTTTATCGGATAAACATACCTTCAGTTGTTCCATTCCTGGCCTCTTGCTAATAAGAAAAATAGAAATAATAGTTATTCAACAACATGCCTAATGGATTATATCCGAAGTCATAGTTATCCGGAAATTATGTCCTAATATAATGAATTTTTGAAAATGTTTACCCTGCAATGTAAAGTTATACAGTTCTGCCAAAAGAATCAAATCCTGCGTCCAATTAGTAGATATACTATAAACAGTAGCAGAAATTATTGAATGGACAATAGAATATCAAATAAAAGAACATCTTCAGATTTTTTTCACTAGTTCCTTCTATTCAATCCGGTTTCCAGGACGGATATAGCTGCTACAACTGCTCTTCCTCACATAGATGACAGATATTAGTAAATGCACGCAGCTTGTTCTACTTGACTTCAGCAGGCCGTATAACACCATCAACCATAGTTGATTACCTTATATTACGCTTTATAGAATTTTATAATAATGCCATCATGCTAATAAATAATTTCTTAAAAATGGACAATAAAAAAGTACTCTTAGTATCAGAAGTGCCGCAAGGTTCAATACTGGGACCCTTATTTTCTCTATTTCTTCTGCATAACTCATAAAATATTTATCTAAGTGCAACATCCATTTATAAACAGATGATACCCAACTTTTCCTCCTCAGATGATAGAATAAGAAACTGCTTGCAATGCTATTAATAAAGATCTTTTTCCAGTTATCGACTCTACTAGAACTTAATTATAAATCCCATCAAATCAAATGTACTTTTGTTTGGATCTAGAGCGAACCGCCATAAAATTTTAAAATCAAATCAACATTAAAATACATTATGAAAGTCTTAATCTACTTGCAGAAGCTATAGAAACCTTGGGGTAACAATGGATTCAGAATTGTGATTTAAAGAACATAAAACACTCCAACGAGTATATACAGCTCTTAAATCAATTTAGGGCTCTCTGTGGTTCATGTTTAACTATCCAATATAAGAAAAAAATTCAAAAAATACAAAACTGCTGCTTCCGTTTAATATTTGGGATTAGAAGACGTTGCAGATTCTCTCGAAAACTAAAAGAAATTGGGTATTTGAACAGGGACAATAAAAGAGTACCGAACTCTGTCTGCTTTATCCTCTTTTTGAAATCATAAAACTATTTTAAATCATAAATTAAAAGACTAACTTTCCTTTACTTATTTAATTTTTAACAGATGTAAGCGAAGTTGCCTTTGTGCAAGACCCAAATTTAGTAAAAGAAACTACTACCAACAGTACACTCAGTGTTACAGAATACGTAGCTATCGGAATTTGTTCCATTCTTCTTGGCCTTATCTATGTAGCTTCTGTCTTCCTATATCTCCACCTCCGAAAGAAAAAGACAAACTCGAGAAGTAGCCGAAGAAGTAGTAGAAGCATCAGGGACATTGAAGAAGGAATAGTGAAAAGTAATCCATTATTATCTATATCAAGCCACTTTTTACCAGGAGAAACTGGCTACAGTGATACGAATAGTTCTGACAACGAAGCTGCACCTGACATTATCAAACATCATGAAGATCGCAAAAAACAAGTAAGAATGTCTAATCCAAAAATGATAATAAAGCATTACGTTCCAGTTTTTTCAGTTATCACTATTTTTTAGACTACTTCAGCTCTTGTTCATTCTCAGAAACTGTACAACTACAATACACGTCTTTCATCATTCTCTTCATTTGACAACTACCATCAAGATTCAAATACCAACGAAAGATTGCCTGAAGAAAATGTATCCATTGTTGAAACATTAGAAATCAGAGAAGAAAGACCTGAAAATATTAGATCTCTCACAGGAATTACTAGAAAGAAACTCTACTTTAATCCCGCTTATTTTGAACCACAATTATTGTTGGTAAGCTCATTTAAGTACAAACATTTTTATACTCCAAAAATATTTTAATACTCTTTATTTTGTATATTCTTAGGAACCGCCACCAGCTGCTTTAGAATTTCTAATCAAAATTCGTGAAGTTATCGCTATAGCCAAACAAAAATTATCTTCGAAAAGATTCAGTCCTAGCCTTCTTAATATTCCTGAAGAAGAAACTCAATACCCCATCGATTCTTTGTATGGACTAGCAGATCCGTCGATAAGCAGACGTAGCAGCATCATAAGCCTCAAGCGTGAGAACAGCAGAAGAAAAACTTGCACAGGCTGTCCAGGATGTGAACCACAAGAGTTTAATGGTATAACAGGAAAATTGCCAGAGTTTCCAGCATTAGTAGCCTGCCATAATTGCACCCTTACGTCTAATGAGAGTAAGCAGAGAATAAGAAAATGGTTGGAAGATGTACCAGTTAATAAAGGTCCAGGCGATCTTACTCAGGCTTCGACAAAATCAAATAACTGTCCTAAAACTGTCAGATCTCCAACAAAATCGCTTCTGGCTTCATTAGAATCTCAAAATGTTAAACGTCCACTCAGTGTGAGAATAAGAAAACCATTTGAACAACCACCACCACCCCCTTCCACCAAGAGCGAAGAAGAAAACTACTATTATTCGATTCCTTTAGACGATAAGAAAGACTCGATTCATTCGGTTATGAAACTCCCTCCTCCTGATATGATACAACAGGCTATGGAGTTCGATAGAACGGAAGAAAAAGTGGCAACGTTGACTAAGGAGCAAATGAATGCTGTTATTTATGAATTTACGAAACATAAAAGCTTGTTGGAGAAGAGCCAAGTAGTCGAGTATGAAACTGATAGTTTAGAGCGGAATCATCATCAAAAAGGTAAAAAATGGTACACGCAAACTAATGTGAATCTAGATTCTTTTTGGAGCTATAATTCTACTAATTGACTAACTTTTTTTCCAGGTTATTCTACTCCATCAGAATACGCGGAAGTTTCATCCTCACAGCCAAGCCCCAGTCTAAGCTCTGTTCTGCCAGATCAAGAAGAAATGACAATGCGAAATGCCATATTTAATACCAAAACGGGCAATATGACTATCTCGAAAATTAATATGGAGGCTCTTCAAGAAGATGATCACGATTATGAGTTAATAGTAATGAAAAAGGGTTCAATGATCAATGAAACGTACAATTTATCGGAACTAATCCAAAAAACTAAAGGTTACAGCTTGGTTAGTGAAGTATACGTCAACAATGGTTACAACTATGGGAGTACACCATCTACCCCTACCAACTCACGACATTCAACCCTAGACATGAAACAATTAAAGGTTAAGTATGAAGGTACCTCAGAAAAACCAGGAAAACTACTTATAGAAGTAGAAGACTGCATGGACCATTACATTCCAGTGAACGATTCTGATGAATATGAACAAGATACTTTAGATAGAAAAACAAATAGGAGTTCCAAAAGATCTGCTCCTCCAAATAATTACGTTGATTCTTTGGAGAGACCTTCCCAAATCCTTCTAACAACTACTGGCAGTTTTCGTAGCTCTGAATCGTTAAATGCATCTCAAGATTTTGGCGAATCTGGTAATTTTAACAGAGTTTTTGGCAGCTTGAGGGAGATTTATGAGGCGAAGACAAGGAGTAGCAGTTTTTCAAAGAGAGACGGAAAAGAACCTTTTATACTAATAAGTGACGATGATAAAGGAAGGATTCTAACCCTGGAAGAGAGGCATTCAAAGAGGCAGCGAGCTAAGGAGAATGCAGTACAACCGGATGTTATTCCTCCCCCTCCTCTTGATACTAATACACTTTATGAAAATGCTAGGCATCAAAGACAGTTGGGTAAGTATTTAGTATTTCTATTTGACGTTTGCCAACGTCACTTGAGTTTCGATAAAATAATTACCTTTTTTGTTTCTCAGATACCGCATTTGGCCATTCGTCTCTATCATCAAAAAACTCCAAATGCAGGAGCACCAGCAGGGAATTCAAATCAAATGCAACACCTAATACTACTGGTGCTCCTGATTCTCGTACAGACGAATACAAACTCTGCCTTCTCCAGAAATCTAAGAAAAACGGCAACATAACCAATTTAATACAGACGGAAGACTTTATCCTCAAAAAAGGCTGCAACGATCAATTTATATTCCACTCCGTTGTTGATACTCATATGAGAGACAAAGACAAACTCTCATGGCAAAATACCCTGCGACCAGAGGACTCTGGCTACCTCAGTTCCGACTCGAATGAATCACGATTTCACAAAGTCAAGTTGACTATGTTGGAACCGGTGGGGGTTGGCAGTGAAACAGACGAAAGCTTGGGGGACGGGCATAGCGAGTCAGGCGCAGAAAGTGTTGAAACCCATTCGGTTTTCTTCGGTAGGTTTAACAGAAACTCCGCTGGGTTTAATGGATACGGTTCTATGGATAGTGGCGTAATTGGTGGGGAGGAGGGAGTTTCTAGTAGTGACTCTGAGACTGTCAGCTACACGACTGTTATTCCTGTTGTGGCTGAACCATCGTGAGTCAACTGTTGTAGCTGAACCATCGTGAGTCAACTGTTGTAGCTGAACCATCGTGAGTCAAATTAGGTACTCTTTTCGTTTAAAGAAAACCTATCGTGTTTTGATTTTCAGGGTTTTGAATCGTAATGCTTAATAAGTAATATCTTTGACTACTATTTCGAATTTTATTATGTTGACTTTAGAGTCAATTTTCAGGTTATTTTTTTTTTGTAATATACGTATGATCAACGATATGCGAAGGAGGCATTTCCTGATATATTTTAGTTTAAAATTGTAAAAACTTAAGAATATCATAATTTAGATAGACATTAGTTAGTTCTATTAGGTAAACAATAAGTAATAAATAAGAAGCTCACATATAGAGGACAGTCGTGTAATATGGGGAACTTTTTTTTAAATAATGGAAAAGTTAACTCTGATTTAGTCAGTATATTACATTTCTTTACTTTGCCTCTAAACTTTTTCAATTACCTTTTTCAAAAAAAACTTGTATTAATTTATTCCAAATTGTATCCAATACGGTCCTGTCTAACTTAAATATTATGTAGAACTTTCGTCGAAAAATGCAGTTGTAAGAACCATTCACAAAACTGAACTATGCGGGAGAAATCTTCAAGTTGTAGTGCTTAAACAGGTTGAACATAAAAGGGATACAATACGCTAGTTCAGTGTGATGTCATTTTGGTTCCACTGACATTTAATTCTAACCAAACTTTTAACAAAAACATCATACGTTTTTACTGTTTGAAGTTTTTTTTCTAAATATTGTTTGCAGGTCACAAAAAAACAGTTTAAAGGAAGGTATGTAATTGGTAACTAAACGATTGTATATTTGATGCATGTTATCTACTTACTTTAGGAATATATTTATAAAAATGAAAAAACGATATAATTTAGGTAAACAAAACAAACAAAACGCACTCAAAAAATCTACTGTCACTTTAATTGTCAGTGGAACCATAATTACATCATCACTGAACTAGCGTATTGATTTTTCTGCCATGTTATCCACACTTTTCTTTGACATACTCCCACCTAATCTGCAATCACCCACGTACTTGTTTTGTTGGATCTTCAAAATGTATTCTTCACTAGTTCGTATTAACATGCCAGTGAATTACAATAACCGGTACACAATTAATTGTTATTCACAAGAAAACCAAAACAAAAAGATAAACACTTTTTTTAGAGTAACTTTTCATACACAAATCCAGACTAGGGGTGGGCAAAATATTTTTTTTACATCGATACTTGATTAATTCATTATTTTAGATTAATCGATTATTTTAGATTTATCGATTATTTTCGATTAATCGATTATTTTCAATTATTTTAGATTATTTAATCTATTTCGATTAATCGATTATTTTCATTTTTTGAATGATAATTTTTATATTAGATTTCTGTTAATAGATTAATTAAAATAATCTAATAATCGTTGAATCGAATAATCGACTTTATAGGAAATACAAAAAATAAATTTTCTTTATATTTAATAAAAAATGTGTTGTGAGCAACAACTTTCTTTGAATATAATTTAAAATTTTAGATCCTGTTTGTTTTTATTTTTTTGAGGAGCAATTTATAAACGACACACCAGCTTGTTTTTAAAATAAAATATATCGTCAAATGTTAATACATAATATATTTTAAAAAGCTTTTTTAATTTTGGTTCGTATTTAGTGTAGTTAATGGCAGGGCCGCCGAGAGCCAGCTCGGGCCCCATGACAATTCTCCAGATCAGGCAATATATCGGTTTAGTCATTTTAACCTGTCAGATTAAAACAAGAAAACCGACAATTCCGAAGCAGAAGCGGATGATTAAAACGCACCTATTAAAAATATTGCGCCAAGATGTAGGCAACACGTAATAAGGGTTCAAAATGGCGGAGTTTTCTATCTCCTTTTAAAAGGCACTCAGAAAGCTGCGCAGTGCGACCATTCTCCGTATAGTAAAAGAAAATCAAAGTATGTGCGGTAGATGGACAAGAACATGGTACCCCATATTAGGAACTATCCTCATATTAGGCGACTTTCCTCTGGTATTTAATTTTGTAACAGTTGTATTAATTTTAACTTACCTAAATGAGGATAATTATATAAAAAAAAAAGGAACCTCCCGAGCAAGGGATAGTTGTAAATATATGACCATATTAGCTAATACTTTAGACCCTATCACATATTTATTTGGTTTATTTATAGAACTTGAAATTGTTACTTGGTTACATTAAAATTTATGTACAAATATTAAACCTAGTTTCAAAATAATTATAGCTTTTTTTACAGATAAGATACAGGGTGAGGCAACGAAACAGATTGAATATCTTAACTGAGAAATTGTTTCGGAAAAAGGCAAAAACAGGTTGATTTTTATTCAAATGGGGCACCTTTCTATCATATCCGTAACTGTCATATGTAATTTCCCTATCCTCCGTTATTCTAAACCAACATAATTTAAATACGAAAAGCACTTGTAGTTATCAAATTTCTATTCATCATGTGGGCACTGTGATAAATGAATTTAACTTTTGAGCATAAATTAAACTTACACACGTTTGGACCCTTGAAGATTTTAGGGTGTTTTCTTGTTTGATGTCAATGGCATTGAATCAATTTTTGATATTGATGGCTGAGGCTCAAATATTTCATCGATCGACAGGGTATTTTGGAGAGGGGTTCTTTACAACAATGATCATTTAAAAACTGAAAACAAAAACCAATTATTTTAACACTAAATCAAAAACAAGTTTGTAAATATTACTTACCGTTGGTGCCAAACAGTGATGATGCATTTTTCTTAAGACACTTATTACAAATTATTTGGTTATACTTAATATGACGACTGCATATTTAATGTGGTATAAATTGCATCACTACCAATATCTGGTATCGCTTTATTGTTTGTTGCTGAAATCCATCTTCCCATCTTTTGAAAACATGCTTAAAATTGGAAGGTGTTGAAAAATAAATCTATATTCTAGATGAACCAAAATTCAATACACCTTCAAAGTGCAATAGGGACCGTGCGTCATGACTTTAACGCTAACTGGTGACAAAAATGTGAACTTTTTGGGGGGTATTTATTAATGTTTTATACGGCATTTATTGTTTAATAATTATTAATAAAATGAAGTCGAATTATTTTCGTAATATCAATATCGAAAAAACTTGTTGCATCCGTGGATGTACAAACACATCACTTTAGAAACCTGGATTTCATTCGATAGTAAAGAAATTTTATAAATTTCCACAGAGCACAATTATGCCTCACACCCAATGATATACATAATTACAAAGATTGCTTATCCATATGTAAATCAGACGACGAAAAGCGTATTTCACTGGGCAAAGTTTTCTTTTTATCTAGCTTGTATCAATTTTGAGCACTTAGTTGTAAAGAAATCATTTACAGAAAAATTAGAATCTTTAGTGTTTTCTTGTCATTAAGATTTTTACATATTTAAATGACCATTTTATATAAATATAATTTTACAGATAATGGTTTATTCTGTTGATTAAAACTAATGTAGAATGTTATGAAATAAGAATATCCAATTTGACAAAAATATCACGGCCCTCTTTACAATTTATTAACTATTTCTCATTTATTATTAAAATAAACAAATCATAAATAATACATTGCAATTACTGTCAAAAGAGATTGCAACAAACTTTAAAATATTAAAAATCCAGTGATTTTTTGTAAATTTTTTTAGTGACATTACCATTAAACATTATTCAGAATAATAGATAAGTGTACAATTACAACTCTTACCAAAGTTGTTCATACCTCATATCAAAATTGTTTACATTACCTTTTCAAAATTGTATTACATATTGTAATTATGTATTTTATGTAGAATTGTTTCTGAAATAGTAGTCTAAAATTATTTATATCCATCTGTTATAAAAATTGTTTAGATCTCTTAATATTATTTAACTACATGAAAACTCAACTTTCCAAATACATAATGACATGTCTTGAAGTAAAACTTTAATTATTATCTTTTTCTAAAGATTAAAATGCTGAAATTTTATTTTAACACATTTGGGCTAGAACGGCTCTATTTAGTGAGCACTAGGAAAGGCACATTGCAACCAGCTTTTCATAATTTTTTTATAGTTGGGTGAGCAATCTATAATATATGTATCATTGAACATCTCATAAACGCCAGTGGATGAATGACATTTCGATTAACATAAAGCTAAAAAGATTTATAATTATTATTATCAATCTTTTTTATTAATTTACATTTTTTAAATGTTATTGTAATACTTTTAAATTCAGTGTTACTAAATACCTATATTTTAACATTGGATACACTTGTTTAAGGTACAACTTTACAATTTATTGTCACTTAGCCATTTAAATCTTTTTGCTTAAAATGTATATGCATATCCAGATTTTAATAATGTTTCACATTTTACGTCATTTTGACCATGTACACGATTGTTTGGTACGGGCCGGTATCTATTTTTAACTATATTTAATATTTAAAAAAATACCCTTTATTATTTACTTGCAATGTTTACCCCATTTAATTCTAAAATTAAACACTAGAGAGGTCTAAGTTCGGCAGTAGTGCTGCCTCTATATTTCACGCACGGTCCCTATATCCATTTTAATTTCTCTAAATTTGAAGTTTTGACGAGCTGACAACTGACATGACATTTCGATACGAGCGCCATCCCGTTAATTGGAGTGGTACTAAATTACCTTCCTCATGTTTTTCCATTTCCATTTCCATTTGAAATCTAATTTATTTTATTTAACACACATTAATCGCCACAATACAAATAATTATTATAGATCTGCTGAGCTACAGGAATCACGTTAGTTACTATAACGACATTCATATTGCTGAATTCCCCATAAAATTTACCTTTTCAATGATATGCCATACTTGGTACTTTCTCTATATGACTATACTTAAGTACCGAAATAATAAACAGTAATTTAATGCAATAAGAATGTGAGAAGAATCCTGCCCGTCCATCACTGAAAAAAACCTCTTGTCTAGTAACCTCCAAATATTTCTCCAAACTTTGGCGCAATGACATATGACATTCTTAAGATATTAAATTACTGTTTATTTTTTTGGTATTCAACTATAATATGAATGCCTCGTCGTTATTCCGATTATCCTGATATAAGGAAATGTAGACTCTTCAATTCAATTGGGTCAATAATTTAATTCTTTTATTTAGTTATTTTATTATTTATTTTTGAGGGGTTGTTTCTGTACATTGTATTGGTTAGAATGACGGAGGGGATGGAAATCACGTATAATAATTGAGGATATGATAAAAATGTTCCCTTTGGAATAAAAATTTATCTGTTTGCGTATTCACCTTTAAAACATTTGATCCGTTCCGCTTTTGTACCTCACCTTGTATATGTTAGTTAAAAGGGTAGTTCTTTTATTTTATATAAATATGTAGATATATGAAAATAGTTGCAATATTTATGTGATATATTTTATACGGCCGGATGTGCAATAACTTAGTTGTAAGAAAACACTTCAGTTCAATAGTAGAAAATGAACAAAGTTTTCCAAAATTTCTTCAAATTTCACAATCATATCAGGGTATACAAATATAAAAGTTATTAGGTAAATTAATTTCATAGTTTTCAATTATTACACTTTTAT